TCGCTTGGGTGGCCGACTCGCTTGTGAACCACGTTATATTAGATTAATTATCTTAAACAAAAATCGGGTGAGAGGTCTGAGGAGACTTTTTCCGTCTGCGAGTTAGCTATTATATATATATACATGGGGATTTTGTATAGAGAATGTAATACTAGACCAAGGGAAGAAAAAAAAAGATTTAAAGGCTTGCTACTGAAGTTGTGCTTTAGAGTACGTATTTCGTTTAGATTTTGCAAAGGGGGGGGGGGGGAAGGGATTTTGTAGGAAAAAACCAAGTTACAGAACTTTCATTTACAAAATAATGAAAAACACACATCACGGTACATCACTCTCTATAACTCACCATGTAAACATACAACTCACATCACATCACGAGACAAACAACCACATAAATATCCACGTCTATCATTACAACTATAGAAGAAAAAAAACAATCTCTCCTCCCACTTTGTTTCATACTTACACACATAAACACCACTCTCGTATAAAAACGCCATCATGGGATAGTGCATAGTGGGAAATCATGAATCGGGGTCGAGGGACGATTAAATATAAAAAACATAGGACGAATAATCTATTCTTTCTCCTGGCAAAGAAGATGCTAAAACGCCCTTCTGCCTTACAAGACTTTTGGTGCTACATGATGGTGTTGGAGAATTCGGGCTATGCGATTCGGGTTGGGGGCTTGCGCATGGGGCTGGGGGGTGTCGGGTGTGCCGCGATGTTGGGGGGGATGGTGTGGGTGGGCCGGTGTGCAAGGGGAAGTGATATACTCTCATCGACGCTCGTTCCTCAAGTCGTCATTGTCGTTGTCGTGAGCTGCTGGAGTCGTCGATGTAATCGCCCATCCGTATCGTGCTAGTCATGCTCTGGCTAACGGTCGTCTCCACATGCCGTGGCTACTCAAGCGCTTGCGATCCTGCAACATACGTCGTGGGGTCGACACGATACCTCCTTCCATCTCCATTTCCACCTTTGGAAACAACCAGGGGCATCAGCAATTCATCCAGAACCACGCGGGGGGCAACTCCGCTCACGGAAAATCGGACCTGCTGCAGAATTGCGGTTTTGGACACGCAAACATGGTTCGATCGCCAACGTGCTGCGCAGCGCTGGAGGGAACTAGAATCCATGTTTCAGCCACGCGTCAGATAATCCCCCCATGGAGGCTATCCAACATCACGACCAATACATAGCCCAACCCTACGGCGCTGGGAAGGGGGAAGGGGTGTCAAGACGCTCAGGCCATGACACCTTGGTTGCCGCCTGCAGGAAGATGGTGTCAGTGGGCTGGATAATATATACTAGGGTGACATGTCGACTCTAGTAGAGACTAGCAGGACGGAGATAGGGATTGTTGGAAAGCGACATACCAACTTGGCGCTTGATCTGCTCACGGGCCCATCGAGCAGTGTCGCGGGTACGGCCGCTGAAGTCTGCGTTTGCGCGAGTCTCCCTTGCCAAAGCAGTGAGGAAGTCGTGACGGAAGTACTCCCTGAAGTCACCTGCAGGGAATGCATCGGCAAGGTCACTGATAAGTGTTAGTACTTTTACTTCTTCTAAAGCTGTCTTCAGTATTTACCCAATGACACCGCATGAAGAGCGAAGGAGCGCCTCAGTGCGGTTGCTGTCCTGCTGAATGGTTCGTAGAAGATCAAAGATCGAGTCCATGTAAGGAACAATGAGTTGAGTCTTGTTGCTGCTCTTCATTGCAACAATGCATCCGTCCCATGCGTCCATGATGCCCTCACGGAGAGAGGTGATGTAATCAATCATCTCATAGTTGCCCTCAGTTGTGATAGTCACCTGACCGGCTTGTTGAAGAACCTGCGCAACTACGGGGAGGTATGTCTCAAAGGCGCCGTGGATGGCGTGTGCAATATCACCAAAGCACTGCAGGATTGCAGGCTTGAGCTGGTTGCCCAGAGCGGGGCTTCGGAGGTTGTTGAGAAGAGAGTTCATGAATGCATCACAGTAAGGCTGAACCTGCTCTCCCAGAGATCGGGTAATGTCAGAAACCAGACCAATGGCCATGGAGCAGAGAGCGGGTTCCTCCTGGTTGTTCAAGGCGTTGTACAGGAAAGGCGAGAATGCCTCCATGTACTTTTGGAAGTCCTCCTCGAGTGCGGTCGCAATGGATCCAATGGCGGCAAAGACAGTGTCTGGAACACTGGACTTGGGAGGCAGCGACGACAACAAGCTCAACAAGGCCTGCATGATACGGTCGGATTGAGGCCTGATGTCGCCCTCGAGTCGCTGGATGATGGTCATGATGACACTGGAAAGACTGGTCTGCATTTCTTCAAGAGTCAGCTTGTCCTCGACATTAACAACTTGAGTCTGCAGCGCCATGGACTTGTCCAAGCGCTCAAGAATGACGTTTGAGAGCTCGTTGACAAGAGGAACACTGTCGCCAGCAGCATTGTTTACGAAAGAGTTGAGAACTTCGTAAGCAGCAGTGCGTAGCGTATTGTCGGCATCGGCTCGCTCGGTAACCTGCAAGAGGCTCTGGACACTCTGCGCAAAGTGAGGCGACAGAGGGTTGCTTTGGCATCCTGGTTCCCCGGCGAATCTATCGGCCAGGTTCATTAGAGACCAACAGCAAGATGCGGCCATCTTGGGGTTACTGGCGAGCCCGTTGAAGAGAGCGCCAATGAGTGGCGGGAGGTGCTGCTGTGCGTCGAGTGCGCTTGGAACAGCTTCGCAAATGCGACCCAGTGCATAGGCAGCAGAGTCCTTGACGTGGATGTTCTGGTCGTCCATCATGCCAATCAGAGTTGGGAGGGCTTGCTTCACAATGGGGTCTAGAACCGACTCCTCGGGTCCCTCCATAATGGCACCAAAGGCGGAAACCGACGCATCCCTGTAATGCCAATCTTCTGAACGAATGTACTTTTCGATAAAAGCCAAGACTGGGGGCATGACGCCGCTTCCGACGCACTGAGCCCAGAGCTGCAGACATTGATATGCGGCACGCGATGTGTTGTACTCGTTATCATCGGCATCCTCGTCCTGCTTGGCCATGAGCTCTAGCAGCACGGGGACAACTTCCTGAGTAGCGACACGGGCAAAGTTGAAGTATTCTCGAAGCTCAGTCGAGCCCTCTGCTTGTGCTTGTGTGTTGTCGTCTTCAATGGCGATTTCCTCCTCGCAGACGGTGCACCAGAATTCTACTGCAAGCTTGGCGACATCCTCCTCGTCGCTCTTCATGCCCTGGATTGTGAGACCAAAAAGCGCCTTCTCCATGTAGAAGCGCATCTTGTCGTAGTAGAGACCCATTATGCGGTTCAAGCATCCGTATGAGCCTTGCTGAATGCGCGTGTCGTCGGCCTGTGTGGCCTCGCAGATGACCTGCATAATATAGTTGCGCTCGCCCTCATTGTCAAAGTTGGAGCGGACAAACTCGATCGAGTCGCTAAGGGCGTTGATGGCTGCTACACGGACGTCGTTGTTGGTCTCCTCCTTGCGGGCACCCTGAACAACGGCAGTCAGGATGGCATTGGAGTGGTGTGCCAGAGCATCCCTCAGCTCCACGTCGTCTGTATCACACACGAAACCAATTGTAGTGAGCGAAGATTGCTTTTGGCTGTCTGTGCCTTGGCCGACATTCTCGACGAGTGTGGTCATGAGCTCCGGCCACTGATTGCGGGGTATCTCAATGGCGGCGACAGAGGCAATGAATTGTGCAGCGGCCGAGCCGACGCCCTTGTTGGGAGTAGCGAGAGTGCCGAGGGCCATGGCCTTGACCTGTTGCTTGATCTGGGGATCGAGGCCGAGCCATCGCTCCTGGACCTGACGTAACCGGGCGTATTCGCGGGCGGTGAAAGCGTTCTTCAAGGCCAGCGCGGCGGCCTGCCGAATTTGCGGTGCGGCCTGTTCATTTGCGAGTTCGCCACCGAGGACAGTGAGATATTGAGGCTGGAGCAAGGCGGTGATGTTAGTGGGTGCGTGTGGCAGAAGGCGGGTGTGCAGCCTTGTGGTTGGGGCGACTTACAAAGTTGGAGTCGGCAGCCTGTTGAAGCTGCTGCTCTGCGCTGTTACGAATACTGGCATCTGCACGGGGGAGTCAGCTGAGGAGAGTCCCTTGAGCAAGGAAAAAGCAAAAAGCAGCGTCTTGGGAGGAGGTGAGAGCGGCGTACCGGCAGCGTAGGTTCCCTCCAACACCTGGTTGATATCCATAATGGGTGAAGGGGAGCGTTTGGTGGGCTCGAAGAGGGGTATCTAGTGGGCGAAGAGATTAAAAGGCTGCTGGGGCGGAATAGGCAGAAGGGAGGTGCGGCAAAGAGGGGCACAGAGAGCGTGTATGTGTTTGTGTGTGTGCAGGGAGAAGAGAGAGAGAGAGAGGAAGAGGGAGGGAATGTAAAGGTGGAAAAAGGTGCGGTGGTCGGGTTTGTCGTAGGGAGGGAATTTGCAGCGAACGAAGGTCGAGCGTAGACAAGCCTAGTTCACGTGTTGTTTTCCTTGTTAAGGGTCTTTCTGCCCCACTACCGGGATGGCTCTTGGGAGAGGAAGAGTGCGTGCGTGTGTGGGTGGAATAAGTAAGAGAGGTTGAGAGAACAAGGGGAGAGAGGGAACTAGGGCAGGCAAACAGGCGAGCGCGGAGACAAAGGGCGTGAGTGGGGGTTTGTGTGGGTGGGTATGGGAAAGTATGGAAGGCGGACGAAGGTGTAGTTCTGTCTCGCCCAGGCACCGTCGACGACAGACACACAGACACCACAGACTCGCTCAGACGGCGCGCGCAGCTTGTCGAGGGCAGCAGCCAGCGCCCGCCTGGCAACGGCGCATTGGCTCGCTTGCGCATCGTGCTTGCAACTCCCCCCGCGCGCCCGACGCTCGCCCTCCCGCCTGCAGCCCTGTCTGGATAGGTGGGTGGTGCTATGTGTCTACTACTTATGGCGAGTGGTAGGTAGTCCATGTACTCGGGTACAGGTACATGTCCCATCTTCTTGCCCATGGCCACCAAGACGGTGCTGCCCCTCCACCCGCCAGGAACAAACACCAACACATGTCCATATCGATAGTTGCACATACTACATGTCTGTCCTCTCCACTCGGAACAAGGAACCTGCTCTGCCTGTGCGTACATGCTAGTACATCGACCAGAGTGAGCATGCCAAGCAATTCCATGCGTCCAAATCCAAGGCATGACGAGGCGATTGGGCCGCTCACCGCACATCATCACCATGACGAATAGCACTCGCCCATGTCTGTCCGGCCGTTTCCCCGTACCTGTAGTACATGCAAACTACACATACTACATGTTGCTACCGTAGGTACATGTACTACCCAAGACATGCCCTCGTCATAGTGGAGCCCTGCCGCCGGACACCGAGGCAGCGAGGGGTGGGAGAGGGCGAGGGAGAGGGAGAATGGAGACGGGCACGTGATGTCTATCAACCTTCTACAGCTGCAACACCACCGTCTACTCTGCTACAAAGCAAACAAAAGAAGAAGAAAATGCGCCTGATAATGCACCCTGACCTCCACCCCACGCAAGAAAAAGAAAACAAGGCAAAAAAAAACATAAGATGCTTTTACATCCGTCCCATGGCTCTCGGGTTCTCTGCTTCCTGCCTCCTCCAGTCCCGCATCTCCTTGGTGCCCAAACTGCCTAGCCCTCCTTCGCCCCGCCGCTCCCATCCTCCCAGTCGCACCACCAGCCCCGTCGCATTGTCCGCTCCTTCGCTGCCCGTCGACGTCTCCACAGCAAAGCTAACCATGTCCCGCGCTGCCTGCTCCGGCGTCTTTGCCTCCTTGACAATGTCTACAATCTCTTGGTCTGAAAGGTGTCCTGACACCCCATCCGAGCAAAGAACCAGGAATGAATACTCGGCTGGCGACAGTTCGATCCGTCGTATCTCTGGCTCTGCAGACACTCCAACCCGCTTCGACGCCATGTCGCCAAATGACCGCGTGTTCGCCAGCCCAGACATACGCTCCTCTCCGAACGAGTCTGTCACAAGCGATGCGGCAAACCGTCGGAGTCGAGTGGCTTCTTCTGGCAGCGACGGATGGTGGTTTGACGTCAACGGCACAGCCAGTCCAGTTGCTGTATTGCACAAAAGTATCCTCGTGTCTCCCACGTGCGCTGTAATCAGTGATGATGGCGAAGATGGGTGCCAGAATGGCGATGCCGTCGGTGTAGAAATAAGTGCCACACTGCATGTGCTGCCGCCCTTGAATCGGTTTTCTCCGCCAATGTGTCTGCTCGTGGTGCGCGATGGTTGGCCAAGAATGTCATCGTCGTTCAGTGCCTTGTCTGCTCGAACAACATCCTCTTCCTTCTTGCCCACCTGTGCCGCAACAAAGTCGTAGTCGGCCTTGAGGAAGGCATACTCAAGCACAGTCTCAATCCCAATGCCCTCTTCAACCCTGTCTGATATGCCCGATGAGCTTGCCTGCCTCCTCTCCACAACCTCCTTTTCAGCAGCATGGCCTTGTCCACCTGCCGACATGGAAAAGTACTCTGGTTTGAAGCGTCGAAAGTATCCGCCAACCAGCTCCTTCCACTGTTTGACCAGCTGTCGTTCCAGCTCCTCTGCCTTGCGTATGCTGTCCGATTGCTTGACCGGCGGCACACCAGCCATGGCACTCTCAGTCGATTTGGACCCCGCCGTTGGTAGTTGGTCCTTGGTACCGGGCTGTGGTGGCTTCATAACTTGCGTCCCGGGCGGCGTATGAGTCTCAATGGCCTCTAGGCTCTCTTTGTCCCTCTGTCTTTGATCTCCAGACGTAGCTTGGCCCTTTGCTTTTGGGCTGCCTGCGTGTGCCTCGCCTCTGTCCCGTGTGAGACTGCTCTTCAACTCAAATTGCTGTGTCGCCTTTTCCAAGTAGTCATGCAGCTGCTCCCTGAGGAACCCTGAGCACTCGGCACCGCCATGTCCGTCAAAAACACCAAAGTAGAACACCTGAGGATCGCCACTCGCGCCTACTTCTGGTGTAACTTGGCCATCGTCCCCACTCTGCCCCTTTCTGGTCAGGGAAATGGGCCGCCGCTTCGCGAATGCGGGGAGGTCGATGGTGCCGGCTTGGAATGCATCCTCATTGTACGGCCGTGCCCCTCGGGATAATGACACGCCAAAGTGGTGTTTGGCACTCTTCAACGGTATGCGCACAACCGTCATGTCTCGCGACGGCGGACCGATGACAGCAGCGGGCGAACGGCTCGTCTGGTCGGCATTGTAAGGCGTGCTCTTGTCGCGGGGGAGTCGATGGTGAAGCGCGGGCTGGGTTCGCGAGTCGGGAGACAGGGAGCTCGAGGGGATATGGGTTATGAAGTAGTCATGGAAGCTGCGGTGCTGGCGGGCGAGCGGCACCATGCACGGCGAGACGAGGGCGTGGTATGCGGATGGGGGGAACCTGCAGGCGTGCGCATACAGACAAACAGCCCGAGGCCTTGCAGAGGCTCGGGATCGGTACAGCATTGGTGTCCACATGTCGTCTCTTGCTGCGAGGGACACATGGCGCGGATGGGCAGGTGGCTATGCCATGGTGAATGTGCTGGGGATACCCCAATTCCAAGCCTCAAGACTTCGCCCATATCCCGCCGCTGTTCCTGGGCCGCTCTGCCGAGTCTGCTTCTCCCGCTACGTCATCTCATTGGACCGTGGCTCTGGGTGATGCAATGGCCTCTTAGTAGCCCCTTGGCTACCATCGACACCCTCTCTAATATTTACACCTAGTATGCAATCACTATGTTTTGACATGGCGACGGTTGCGAAAAAAAAACTTTGTTCCAAATCCACTTGAGATGCTGGTTGGCAATGGCCGAGTCACGTGCGTACATCACATCCTAACACCTCCTATTGCTCTCACCACACAAGACCTAGAGTCACACGGCGCCAAACATACACCATATTGGCGTGACTGATTATACATTACCAATATTTGCATTGAAAACTCATGTTAACAGACTAAAGTTCTATGCGGGTTCATTTCAAGTTTGCATTCTCGTCGCATGGCACGTATTCACTCATTGTCCTCCTGCATACACACCATCTCATCCCGTCTTTGGCCACGATGCTGGCGTCGTCTTTCCCTTTACAAGAATCATGCGCGGCACACCCGCTGTCGACGAAATGGTTGGGCTCCATGGCGACAGGGCGTCCTCACCACGGATGCTGTCCATGCTCATCCTCTTAGTCTCTACGTTCAGTGGCTTGCTGTCCACATTCGGTGTCACAGTCTCAGGACCTCTCAGTGCAATCTCGTCGTCCGAAGACTCCGACTTGCGAGGTTTGGAAATGAGTGATGCTGACTTGCGGACATCGTTGAATATCTGCCGGAACAGAGGGCGTAGGATGGCAATGGAAGCTGCGATGATTCCAGTCCCAGGTTCGGCAGTCGCCCAAATGGTTGCCTTTACCGCTTGCGCTGTTTCTATGTCAGTACTATCCTTCAAAGAAAAACTTTACAAAGGAAAAAAAACATACGGTTCAACGATTCCAAGGTGCTCAACTCTAAGCCATCCAGATACACCAGTCTCATTATCGAGCTTACACTGCCAACAGCTCCCAAGGCCATGACCATGCCAACACTCATCTTGCTCCGGCGATCCAAATCACTATCCATCAGGACTGAGATAGGGATCAAGACAAATGTCCAGTCTGCCAAGACGTTAATGATACCGTAAATATATCCAGCGCTCATCCGGAGTGCTGGAGGCAGGCACTTGTCTGATGACTTTTGAATAAAATCGTCGCCAATATGTCTAGGGTCGCCGCATTGGAAGAGCACAATGAAGAAGTAGAAAAAGCCATAAACCACTCCAATTGTGAGAACGGTGTGGAAGACATGCTTTTGCCATTTTTTGGTCAAGACTCGCAAGAAGAACAGACCGAGAGAGACTTTCAGAAAAGTTGTTGTGAGAAGATAGAAGACTTCTGAAAGTTGGACAAACTAGCCGCTGGTTAGCGTATGGAACAGAAGATACGGCAACATGAGTCGCTGCGCAGTCACGTACGATCAGAGTTGTGCGGATACTAGTTGGGGTCCAGGGCTTGATGCTTTTCGCCCGAAAGGTCATGGCGAGAATAAGCGCGCAGTAAACCGTAAACAGCATCAGTGTGGCTATCATGGCGGCATCATCCCAACCAGGAGACTTCGTAACGCGATACCGGGCCCATATTCGTAGGCCGACACTGAGATAGGTGAGTATTAAAAGGGTGATTATGAGGTGGACAGTAATGGTGCCAAGGAGCGCCAGCTCCTCAACGTTTGCTTTGTCCATTATATGATACTAATAAACATTGAAATACAAAAGGAATTATGATAATTGATAAAAAATGACTCCCGACCACAACCTGATAGAAGATTGGCCGAGAGAACAGGAAGCAGGTGGCAAGTCTCAAACTGTACGCAGCAGTCGTTCGGTTATGAATGTCACGTTGGAAATGTTTACCCCGGTATCATGCGATCCGACCAAGGGTCGCTTCATGTTTAGCACCGGCTTGTGAACTTTGTCATTGAGGCCACAGCCACCGATTGGCTACTAAGAGTCTTGGTGACTCGTATGGTTTTGTGATACACCAAAATGTCATAGAGACACGGCTCAGACGTTTTGGGTCCAATGTCCTGGCACAAGCATGGTCCGTTCTTCCACGTGGCTCTTAGGATGATTACCGGCAGGATACTTGCGTGCTCTTGCATGGATCTAGTGAACAGACATATCAATGCATACGGCTTGATGTGATAAGAGAAGGAGTACCCTTGTCAATACTTTCGATGCATATACGGCCGTTTTCCCCATATGCTTTCAAGCTTGACTCTATTTCGGCACCATTGTCTATCGCTAGCTATAATGTAGCGGACCATTGACTAATTCCCGTGACGAAGTCCCTCCGAGAAAGCCATTTTGATACCCGTTTCGAAACTGTGGTACAGCCAGAAGACAGCTATATCAGGCTAACTTATTGGATCAAACGTCATTTTTCAGTTTTTTCCTTGGCAATTGCTTTATCACTCTCACTATATATGTGCCAGCATAATGCTCACGAAGGCGCATACGTTTGACTAAACATGTCATGTTTGATCCTTGAACACAAGACGTGTTTCACCGTTGAAAACTGCAGCCGGAAACAGTGCGAGCCGAAGCGGATACGGACATGACTCCCCCGTTTGACAGCTCAGACAAGCGAAAATCATCGGAACCCCAGATTCCTCAGGCAAACATTGTTCTCGTGTCGAGGTCCGTGAGGGTGGTGAGGGTCAATGCGAGCGGTCCGCCGTAGTTCAGTCGCTCGGCAAAACAACTGTTCCGTCGTTACTAGCGCCTCGGCATAAATTTTCTTTGTCCTCGAGCTTCGGCTCCAACACTGCAACATTTCCAACATTAAAGCAGCCACACCCATGGGCGCCGCCGTTTGGTGGTCGGGTCTGCTACCAATGCCCAATCATATATCTGCGACTCTAGCAATCTGTTTTCGCGGATTGAAACGCGCAAGCATGCGCTCATCAGCCTCAATTCAGGCCTCATGATGCTATCCGGCTACGCCAACGCTATGTACTCACCTCTAATCTAGCCTCGGGATCTCATTGACTTCTCCTGGTATGTTACACATCTCTCTCTTTCTTTCTCATATGATGAAAAAAAGACAAAAATTCACAGACCTGTTCGTAACAATAGTGTCGAAAAATTTGCTTAACATCTTCTGATTTGAACAATTCTTCATTGCTGCGCTGCCTCCATTACTGAGCTCAGCAACTAACAGTCAGCAGGTAAAGACCTTTCACTGAGTGTTTTGAAAATCCTCTGATAGTGCAGTCTTAATGGCTCAAAAGAAACGATCGTTTGTTAGCTTGTGGCCTTGTTGCATCTCCCAGGCATCGGAGATTCAACAGTAACAAAAGGTTATAGATGAGGCTGGTTTTCCATGAGCTGGCTGTCCCTCGGGACGTGCTTTGTATGATCAAGACAATGACAAATGCTTTTAGCACAATGACCAGAACTCTGATATACGCTTCCTTTGTCCAACCAAGATCTGTAATGAGTCCATCAAAGAACCGTGTGAAGTCACATATATGCCTGAATGCTGGCTACCCTGCGAGTACACCCTGTTTGCTTTCCACCTATCAAAAAAACCAATGTCTTCCATCTCTTCATCGCAAATATCTCCAAAGTCTTCAGGTGCATTTTTACACAATCATACATCATACCAATCTCGTGAACCAGACTGTAAATCAGCAAAGGCTTCGTCTAGTCGTACTCGCCGTAATTCGGCTGGTTCCGAAAAGATGGCCCAAGGTGCACAATCACAAGCCGATGCTGTTGCAACGACCAGACAGCCCAGCCTTTCTGGATCACAGCAGATGAGCGGTTCTAGTGGTGTAATCGGTTTGCCTAGCGTAATCGATCCATCTCTCTTCGATGATTGCTTTGATCTAAATCAGTTCACTGCTAATGATTCCTTTACGAATGATACCCTTAATCTCGATAATCTTGACTGGGCTGCAACAAATGACCCTGACATAGCTGCCAATGGCTCCGATGCTAAGCAGTCTCAATACACTGACCTCTTGCATAATATTCAATCTGAAATTGGCTTAGGGATATCAAATGCTCTGCCCGAGCAGTATAACAATCTGCAATATACGACTGAGGCTGAATATGACCTTGGGGATGTACTAAACTCGCTTGAACCAGTCTCTACAGAACCATATGGTAATGTACCTCAAGGGTCAAACGCCTGGGACCCAACTTCATGGACGATACCAGAATATGACGGTGCCACCCCAGGACTCTCAGCACTTCCCGGCGGCACTCAATATATGCCGGATATGTCACAATATCCAATGCTTAGCCAAGTACGACAGATGTATCCTGATCCGTCTGTTCCACTATATCCGACTCAGCCTTATCTCCAGTTCCCACAGCAACAATATTCACGACAATACCCTGAATACCCTCCAATACCAATCGAGCACTATAAGGTAGCAAAGCAAATGGAGGCACAGCCAGTAAAAAAGCGGAAACGATCGGCATATAGCACGGACTCGGAGGATGACACACATACTACCAGACGGCCACGAGAAGATGAACTTGTAAAAGTCATTTCGTCACCAGATGCTTCCCGCAAACAATCCATGGTTTCCGAGGACGGCTCTCTAAGTCAACCCGTCAGCAGGGGCGTCCTGAAAGCTGGCGAAAAGCCAAAGAAATGCGAGGATAAACCTTGGGTCCGTATCAATCACACCACCAAAGGCGAAACGACTCGCACAGCTCGCATTAATCAGCACGCAGAGGAGGGTCATAAATACAAGTCCAAAAGACTTCCTTATGGGGATTGGGATTCGACACATTACGCGTTTGAGTACAGCAAGA